GGATGTTGGGCAGTCTGAGATGGCTTTAAGGGCTGCTTTCAGGTATGGCAGCGGTGGGGATGAATCCCCCTTAGGCTGAAGGAAGATATGCTGTTGAACTACGTTAAAAGGCAGAATCTGGGGATTTTTAAAAAGGAGGAGGTGAAGCAGAACCCAGAACTTGGCAGCGTCAGGGCGGGGGGAGTCCCCGGGGAGGAGCCCGGGCAGGACCCTGGAGAGCTCCCGGGCCGGCGGCAGCGCCCCCCGCCCCCCCCGGGGCTGGCTCGAGGCCAAGGAGGAAACAGGATGGGGTGATGGTTAAAACATCTTATTTTCTACTGCCGTTTCCTCCTCCGGGCCCAATCCATGGGAATTAGTAATGATCGGTATCTTTGTGGGGTGTACCAGAGAGCAGCTATTATTCTGTAGCTTAAATGTCTGCAGGATTCGGAAAAGCCCTGTGAGGTCACTGTGGTCACAGCCAAGTAAATTATGTCTTACAATGATCAAGTGTTTTGTTATGCCCAGATGGTGAGGTATCACTTGCATCTATGTTACACGGCTGCTTCTTGTTTGTTGTAAATAAATCATCAGCCCTTTCAGTATGTCTGTGTCATCCTTATCCGTGTTTCAGTCAAAAATGAGAGATGCACTAGGACCTGTACCAGGAAAAAAAAATGCAGCCACATGGATAAATTAGCTCAGTAGATTGCTTTATTTTACCATGCTGCTATTCTAGTACTGTTTGATATATAAAATACATAGTTGGGATAAACTCTGGCCGTTGTGAGCACTGCAGAAAAAGACAAATCTTGCTGATAAACTTCATGTCGTATAAAAGCAAGTAATAAGAGTGTTTGGAACTGCTCAGCTGATCCTTTAAGTGAAGCAAAAAACCTGAAATTAATTTAGGAATAACAATTTTGGAATTGTTTCCTATTCTGAAAACAGAAGAGCAATCTTGTTTTATAGCATAGTTAGGTGTGTTATCTGTGCATTTACTGACCATAGGAGGAACGTGTTTTCATATTTAGTCCTGCTTAAACTGCACTTCTTTGGTTTTTTGATTAAAACTACTTTTAAGATGTCTGATTCTTTGTTGGATATAGATTGTAGTAGCACTATACTGGATGGCTCAATGTCCTGATCATACCGGGTCATTAATATTTTAGCATCACTAAATGCAGAACTACTAATGTAATTCTTGAAATGCCGTGCCAATTACAGTCAAGAAAAAAAACCAACCAAGGTATCAGTTTGGAGAAATAATCTGTAATCTGCAAGTAAGTTGCACTTTTCATTAACAGTTGTCTGATGCCCTTCTTTGTCTTGTATTATATTTTCTTATTACTCAGCTTATTGCTGGATATAATTGTGCTCCAGATAATAAGATTGTTCTAAGTATAATTACACATGTCATTCACATCATGAAATGTTTAGGAAAAAGGATAAGTTATGTTGACATTTGGAAACTATTAAAATGATAGATTATCCAGAAACTCTGAAGCTGTGTTTAATTAGAGCTAACTTCTGGACGGTTAGCTAGACTGTTGTTTAACTGTGAACTGCATAATGAATGTGTTCTTGACTAGTGTTTTATAATTAAATTTGTAAGAAGCTGATTCGTGCAAATACGCAGTGCGTGTTTTTGCGTTCTGCAGTGATATTAATTTCATGGTTAATGAAGTTTGCATTCTTAAATTGGTATTTAACAAGGTCTTATCTGTGTGGATTTTGTTGATGAAATGAAAAATCAGGTCTGCTTTCTCATGCCTGCTGGTAGGAAATGCTTCATATCCTCAAAGATTTCTTGATTGCAGCAAGAAGTGTTCCCTACAAAACTGAGTATGTTAAATCTCACTGGCAGACTGAATATAAGGTGGGAGCTTGCATGAGACTGCCCTTGCAGGTGTGGTATTGGGAGGAGGTTTTAGGTTCAATCAGGAGTAATTAAACTTATTCACATTGTTGCTCCGGATACTGAAGACCTGTTTTTCTACCACTAACCCTGAATCACACATTTCATATATATTTGTTGTCACAGCCTCGTACATACCTGTCATATGTAATGAATGTTGAGGATGAAAACACACTAAAATGGATTCTCAGTTGAAATTCTGCATAGCTCACGTTCATGGTTCAGGTTCATAGTTCCAGGTGTAAGTTAGTTCACAGGAGTCCTGAGCTAGAGTAGGGAAAGGTCATCCCAAGCAAGGTACTAAACTTGTTTTTTCTATTGTTCATGATGTTTTTTTCTCCTGAGGTTGCTTTTTTTCTTTGTAAATAATCACATTTTTGTAATTTGAAATGTTTTTACTTTGGTCTTAATTTCTATCATTTTTGGCTACCTGATACACTAAAACCAACCCTTCCTCCTCTTGTGGTGACTAATGTGTGTTGGCTCACCTGATAGAGGAGGAGCACAGTGCTGTGTTTCCTTGTTTTATCTGGTCTCCAGGCATTAAAGAGAGCTCGGGAGGACTCAGGAAGCAGCTGGCCTGTAAGCTGTGAGGTGCTCAGGACAGGAGAATTTGTGACAAGAAGTTTATTTGTACACTTCTTCCCTTTGAGAGGTCTCTGCATTGCTGGGCTCCATTGACACCGGTGAAATAGATGAACTAATGGAACTAACTAGAAATTGTTGGTGAGAGGTAAACTAGAGAGAGCAGTTCCTGAAATTTCAAGGATTTCAAATCTAACACTTAAGTTTTAAAGGACTGACAACAGTTTGGTAACTGAAGAAATCATTGTCCTGGGCTTGAACACTTAGAGCTTGGCCAAATATTGTTTTATAGGGTTTGTCTTACAAATTTTGGACAGGCTTGCCAGCCACCTTTAATTGATGCTTACAGAAACAACCATTGCTTTTTGTTGTTCCACTCTAGTTATTTTTTTCCCATTTGTCAACAATACAGTTTGCTTTTTTTTTTTCCATGGAACAAAAATGACTTCAAAATTACAAACACAGTTAACAACTAACAACACATATTCTCTGTCTCTGATAATTTTTGAAGATGTTGTACTGTAAAATTTTAATTCCTTTTTAGAATAGTTGCTCTTAATTTATTGTGCTCAAAAAAAACAGCTATTCTACAACTTCTTCCAGAACACCTTCCTTGTTTGGAGGCTGATGGTGTGACTAGCAGCATATAGTTATTTTATATGCATTGGGTTTTAGTGCTTTTATTGTAATGTTACAAGTTGAAATGGTCTAAGGAGCTTTACAATTAAACAGGTGGGAAAAATAAACCACCCTCCTCCATCTGATCTTTAAAACTTGAGCTTTCTTATGGCACTGTGTTTTTAGTGCTGGCATTCGGTTTTGGTGTTGTGAGACTTTTATGAAACTTAGGTGAATGTTAAGAGCTTCTACAAGTTTTATCATTGAGAAGAATGCTCAAGCACATGGAAATTCATTGCATGTTTTCATATTGATTTCAGAAATTTAATTTATGCAGTAAATACCTAGTTGTTAGATACATTATATCAAAGATTTCTACATAATTGGCTGCTGACTCTCCTTCTGTGATATTTGATTGTGTGTAAAGAGAACGTATGAAAGTAGACTGTGTGTCTTTCATTCTTTTTAAAGCAGTTGGTGTTTTGTGAAATCTGTCTTGCTTGCAATTCAGTGCTTCGATAGTTTCAGGAGCCTAGGAAGAATGAATCTGGTAAGCAAAGCTATTCAGAATTTAAATGGACTCTGAACATATAGTGTATGTCTGCCTTTGGCCCCCTTGATTTAATGTATTTGCTCTTTATCATCTTCTACAAACAGAAGCACGGTTTTCCTTTTATGTTCTTTTTAGGTTTATCGGAACTTGTATTTTGGGTTTGCTTTCTCCTGTTAAAGCTGCTACAGTTACTGGCTTAATGAATATTTTAATGAATGATGAGTGAGTTTGTAGCTGTGCTTTGGCAGCTCTGTCAGTTCCCAAGAGCTGGTTTAAAACAACCGGCTTGAATGACTTAAAGTTCATTGATATCTGTTGTCATCCTAATAACGTTAGGAAAGCTTCATGTATTATTGAGTGATATTGTGAATGCTGTACGTGAAAATGGTGTTGTGAATCGTAAATTGCTGCTTAGTGCACATTAATATGGATTGATTCTGCTTGTTTTGTACTAAATAATTCATATTTCACAAATGGTTCTTATTTTTACTAGGAAAAAAAAATCCATTTGAGCACAGCAGACTGTATTTTTCAGCTCTCACTAGGTGTGTGTATCGCATGGCAGGAATGGGGGCTGTCTCTTTCTCTAGCAGCCTACCTCTTTCTGTTAGGTAGTTGTTTGATAACACCTGGTTCCAAGTCTGGAGGCATTTGCAAGAAGGCTTTTTGATTAAACTTCTACAAGCACTTTGAGTACTGGAGGCTTAGGTTTGCTTTACTTCAGCTATCTCATACCTGCTGAGGAAACAGTAGCGTGTGCTTCCATCTCTGGGAGTGCTGGGAAACTGTGATCTGTTGTGACCTTCCAAATAGAGCACACCTTGACCGAACAGTGCTACATACACTAAACTCAAGGGCAACAAATGCCTGTCTCTTAAGACCAAATCTTGTCTTATAACTTTAATATTTGGATAAATATTTCCTAAGCTACTTGTGCTGTTTACCTTAGAGTTCACAAAGCAATTTCGTGCAACTCTATTTTTAGTATAGCTATAGTGTTGGCATGTCGTGGAGGAAGTAAAGGGCTGAATACTTTTGTTTACATAGTGCGTATTAGATGTGTTTTCTGACCTTTGAAGTGCTGCTCTCTCTGATAGAGGTTAGCAATTGCTAAATAGGTTAGCAATTGAGAGTGAAAACTTGGGTCTGATTCTTCGTCTGCTAAGTTAGTTTAGCTATTTTAAAAGTAGGCTTTACCTTTAAAAAGAATAAAAAAAAAAAGGGAAAAGCTTGATCACAATGGCTATTGATGTGGTGTGTCTGGACTGCGTGCTCTACTAAGACACATTTGTTTCCTTTATTGACAGCTGAGTTAATGCCTCTGTCAGAACCCCACTATCATGTGCTACCAGGATGCATGAGATCAGCCTTGGCGAAATTGTCTTAGACTGAGTTGTATGTGACAGGTAACATAACTTATTTGTGTGTCCCCCAGCCAATCTTTACAAGCTAAGCATTTGGAAAAATATTTTTTTTTGAGCTTAAAATATGTACGTGTTAAGAATAAAAAGCTCAGCAGCCTCAGGTAATGTATTTGGCTGCCTTTCCTGAAGCAGCAATGTAGTCTGTATATTCCAAAGCACAGGTAGCAGTATTGTAGGATATTTTTTTTTGTTTTCTGGTGATGATTTGTCCTCTCTTCCCCAGCACTGCGAAGGGGAGCTTCAGGCTGTGATAGCTGTTCCCTTAGCTATCGCAAAACCTTTGTAGGCACACAGCTTACAGGTAGGCTTTTAGCTGGATGTGGCAGCAGGTGGGAAGTGAATGTTTTTACAGAGGTAACTTCCAGTAACTGTAATTCTCCAATGTTTATCCAGCAAAAACACTACTCCACATTGGATAAATTATGTGAAATCCATTGTTGGCACGTCACTTTCCATCATCTTATGTCATCTGTGTTGAGATAAAACAGCCCCGGTCATGAGCTAGCTGGGCTTGGCTGACACTTGGCGCCTGTGTATTAACTTTGCAGTTGAACAAAGTCCCTTGTTCTCTGTTCTAACAAGAGTGCCCATCAGGGCCCTTTAGCTATCGCAAAGCTTTTGCTGTCTGAAAACTGTAGCCACAACACTGCTCGAACTGATGCCATTGGAAGGAAGAGACAGAGATAAGATCTGTGGTTTTGCAGGTACCGCGTGGCTGTCCAGACACTGGGTCCTTAGTCTTACGATGGCCCTGATTAACTAACTGGCTGGGTCATTAAACTATTGTGTCCAGCATTTCTCTAAGTGTCTCTCTGGGTGACCATCTTTAATGGGCAGATTCTTAATTACACACACATCTCTGAGGCCAGGGACACAATGGAATTAAGAGATGAGGTTGGATACTTGCATGGCTAATACTGCTTTCTGTCTTATAGAAGTTTTAAAAATCCTTTTTGCAAGGGAGCAAAGCTGGTGAGCTCACGCGTTTCATATAGCGTGTCAGTCTTTAACAAGGAAAACTAGAACAAAATTTTCCTTTCAGTAAGTTACTTCATAACTTTTTTAATCTTAAAGAAACCATAGTTTCTGATTATCTTTCTCCAGTACAGCTGTATCACTGGATGTAGCTGGAAATCTGTTTCTGTGGGAAACTGTAATACCTGCCTTCAGTGTGGGAAACGATGTGAATCAATATCATAGAATCATAGAATTTCCCAGGCCGGAAGGGACCTCCAAAGGTCATCTAGTCCGACCTCCCCACAGTCAGCAGGGACACCCCCAACTAGACCAGGTTGCCCAGGGCCTCGTCGAGCCTCTCCTTGAATATCTCCAGGGATGGGGCCTCAACCACCTCCCTGGGCAACCTGTTCCAGTGCTCCACTACCCTCACAGTAAAGAACCCCCTTCTAATCTCCAGTCTAAATCTGTTCCCCTCCAGCTTGAAGCCATTTCCCCTCGTCCTGTCACTACAGGCCTTTCTAAACAGGTTCTCCCCAGCCTTCCTGTAGGCCCCCTTCAGGTACTGGAAGGCTGCTATTAGGTCTCCCCGGAGCCTCCTCTTCTCCAGGCTGAACAACCCCAGCTCCCTCAGCCTGTCCTCGTAGCAGAGGTGCTCCATCCCCCTGATCATCCTCGTGGCCCTCCTCTGGACCCTCTCCATCAGGTCTATATCCTTCTTATATTGAGGGCTCCAGACCTGCACACAATACTCCAGGTGAGGTCTCACCAGAGCAGAGTAAAGTGGCAGAATCCCCTCTCTGGACCTGCTGGCAACGCTTCTTTTGATGCAGCCCAGGATGTGATTTGCCTTCTGGGCTGCAGCTGCCCACTGCCTGCTCATGTCCAGCTTCTCCTCCACCAGAACCCCCAAGTCCCTTTCCTCAGGGCTGCTTTCCAACACCTCACCCCCTAGTTTGTATTGGTGGCGAGGATTGTTCCGGCCCAGGTGCAGAACCTTGCATTTGCTCTTGTTGAACCTCATGAGGTTCACCTGGGCCCAAAGTAACCCTTCAAATCACATCGGTCCTGCACTGTGAGGGCTGTGTTAGAGGATTTTTCTGGTTGCAACATGTTATTTGGGAAGCCCAGCAAAGCCAACCTGCTGGAGGAGATTCAGCGCTCTCATGGTATATCATGACAGTGGTGTGGAAGCTCAGAGTAGAGGGGGGGTTAGTTAGCCATATTTTGGTTATTGGCTCAAATCTTGGAGCTTTTAAGTACCATGTCACAGAAAGATGATTTTTAGACTTACAGACTAATTTTTGCTGGAAGAGACCCCAAATGTCACCTCTTCCCACCTCCTGCTCGGAGCAGGGCCAGCCAACGTGCCTTTGCTTGAAGCATTGTCCAGATGCATTTTCAAGGTCTGTGAGACTGAAGTCACTGCCCCCTTTCTGGCCAGCTTCTCGCAGAGTTTGATTGCTCTCATGGGCAATTTTTTACTTTTGTCAAACTGGAATTTCTCTGGCTGCAACTTGTGGCCGTTTCCTCATGCCCATTGCCTGTGGATCTGCGAGAAGGGCCAGGTTTGTGTGTGCGAGGTGCGAACGTGATCTTATCCTCCCTAACCTTTCCTCCTTTTGGTTTTCTTCTTCTGCTTGGCCAGCTCAGGTGGTGCTTTGCTGAGGTCTGATGACAGAAATGTGTAGGAGGTTTATTAAATGAAGCATTTTATCACATGGTTTCTCTTTGACCTGTTCTTGAAAAAGTTTTGAGCAGAAATACAGGTGAAATTCCCAGTTCTCTCCTCAGAAGAGCAGTTATTGTAGTACGGCCACAGAGGGCATCAAACATGTTGAATATTCTTCAGCTTATTTTCCTTTCTTTGAATTTCAAATTAATGATCTAGATAAATATTCTTAGATCTTTATTTGGATCAGAAATATTCTTATTGTGAGCTGCCAGAACGTGTGTCTAAGCAATGCACTAATACATGACACATAGAAATACTTCAAACGTTTGAGTTGGGGCAGTTTTGAGCTGGTACAAGAGTGGCCACCCAGAAACTTGAAGTTCTGAAGTGCGCATTGAAGTTATTTCCCATCAGCAAAATATTTCCTGTGGGACTTTTTGGGAGGGTGAAGGAGGGAGAGAAGGAGAGGTTGAATTCCAAGTACAGATTCAAGTGTTGCTTTTCATATTGACACTTTGGAGAGGTTTGACTTTATTTCTTGTCTCTGAGAGAAACACCCACTCACATCTTAGAATTTAAAGAGGACAAAGTCACCGAAGCAAAGGTTAAAAAAAATAATAATTTATTAATACGAAACAGCGCTGAATCGGGTGCACCAAAAATAGATGCACGATGATCTTTTAGCTTTCAGGTATTTTATACCTTATCCCGGCCGCTTGAGTTTCTGTCTCCCTTCTCATTGGCTGAGAAGTTGGAGCTCACATTCTTCCCGACCGCTTGACCTATTACAGGTTTATTTTGCACTTTTTCCCATATAAGGCACACATACACCTATTCTACGAAATCATTATCCTAAACACACCTTTGATTAGTTGATTATGCTACACGTTATTTCACAGTCTTTGCTACCATCTACTTGGCAGATTTACCAGACTGGTTTCTTTGGCCTTATTGATACTCCCCTACCCTTTGGGTTTTTGTGTTGAAGGCCATGTTCTAGTCTGTTTCTTTTCACCTAGATAACGCTCTGCAAACAAGGATGCCTTGATAGACCAAGGGCATTTCGGGGGATTAATTGGATACAATTTATTAGACTCTACTATTACTAAGGCTTCTTTGTTAGTACTATCACACTAACAATGATACATCAATTAGCTGAAGCAAAACTTAGCTTATTTCCCACATCTCTGTTCTTATATACGGCCTCTATTCTTCCCTATAGGGCTTCAGTTTCCTGGAATACTGATTGCTAAACTCCTGTGTTAAAGTAACTGTTAGAAACCCTTCCACAGTACTCCAGTGTTAATTATTCCTAGAATTTCAATGAAACGGGAAGACAATTTAATGAACTTGAATTTTGCATTAGTGATGCTCTGCCTTCTACGCTTATCTATTATCTGTCCATCTGGCAGCTCACACGCTGGTTGGCAGAAGTGCTTTTATTTCCTTTCCTGAAAAATCCTGGCATGGAATGTATAAACAAGCGGCACTTCTTCCTTCGTTTATAATTCAGCGTGAAATTCTGAACGTTATTAGTTAATTAATATTAAATATGGTGAATTCTTGCTAGCGCGAGTACCGCGCTCTGAATGGAAGCATATGGGGCGGTAGCAGCTCCTGGCGGTGCGGAGCTGGCAGATTGAGACCCATCTGGCAGCTGACACACGTCCCCCTGCTTACGCTGAGCAGTGCAGGCTGCCAAGAGAGACGGAGCCCATCTAACTATCGTGACATATTTTGGCGGGGAGGGCAAGTGGAAGAATTGCTTTCCCCTCCCCAAAATTGATAGATGCTTAAAAAATTTACAGAAGCTTTATTTGGAGGAAAAAAAAAAAAGTGCCATTTTTTTGGTTGCAAAACTAATTTATTAATAGCAAGTGTGCTATGGGTGCTGAGCTCAGCAGTGTGGTTATCTACAGCCTGGGGGTGTTTTGCTCAGTTTCCTCACTGGGAAGGCCCCAGCTCTCTGCAGCCGCACAGAAAAGAATTTCCCTCGCTGGGAGAGAAATTAAATTGCTCTCAACCCGAACCACTCTGCTGGGGCAGTATGTTGTGCTGGGAAGGCAGCGTAACCCCGGTACTGCATGTAGGCAAATACCTGGCAATAGCCACGTATGTCAGAAATACCTGATGTTCACAGACACAGAGCTGCAAGAAACCAAGCTGAGAAAAAAAAGCCCTGTTTCATATGGATCTACTGGGCTTTCACGTGTACATATTCATCAGGTACATATTCATGTATCAGGTACATATTCATCAGGTAGTCTTTAAACGGATTGTCTCATTTCATTTGGTGGGGGTAGAAGTTTGTGGTGTGATCAGCCATTTAATACATTCCCAAAAGACAACTGTAGAGGCTTTCAAAGTTAACTCTCCTGTTTAAAGTTAAATCAAATTAAATGTTACGTTTTCAGAATTGGCTGGAGAAACGCAGGCCTTCTGAAGGTCTTTTCTCAGTATGGATACAATTTGAAACAGTTGAAGTAGTTTTGAACATCCTCTTCCAAATCAATTTTTAATGAATACTTTAGAGAAAGAATGAGTCCACAGGCTTATACTTCTTCAGTAATAACAGACAAAAGCCTAAACTTGGAATTCCCCCCCTCCCCCGAACTATGCAAATCTTACCAGTTCAATTTCTATTTTGTCTGCAGAAAAACGTCTTGCACAAACTCCACAGTAAGTTGAAACTTCTGTTTCTTGCATTTATTTGGTGATGCTTTGTGGCTTCCTGTTGTTGTGCAAAAGAGACAGTAATTAAAGTAATCCATAGTGTGACTGGGGACAAGTTGTCATAAACAGCAAACTGGTTGATTTAGCTGGGGGTTGCTCATTTTTAACAGAAGTTTTATATTTATGGCATGCTGTTCACAGAGAAAACTGCTGGCAAATGTTGCTATTACAACTTTATCTTTGGTGTAAATGTACAGTCTTTTCCTCTTGTCACTTTTTAATTTCTTATGGTTGTATTGTATGGGGTGAAACATTTTCTGCTGTTAGAAGCAGTAACAGGACAGACAGTAAAATGGCACATTGTTTGCTTGGTGCTCCCTGCAAATGCTGCCCCTCCACCTTGGAGGTGAATTGTTATTTATTTATATATTTTAAGGCATTTGGGTAATCGTATTAATGCTGTGTTGTATGAGGCTGGTTGGCTTTGAGAAAAATTGCTTTCCTTGTGAAAAAGTTGTTGGTTGGTTCATAAACCAAAGTGTGGTTTAAAGGCTTGTCAGTTAGGTAAGTGTTATTTGTATACAGCATCCTACGTGAAACTTAAATTCATCGCTAATATCTGGAGAAGCAGGTTTAAATAGTTATTGACATTTTGCCTGACCTGTGTCTGCCGTGTTTTGTGCCTTTTAAGACAGAATTTGTGGAAGCTGAAGGAGAAGAGGGGAATCGGGGCCTATTTTTTTTTTTTTTTACTTTTTATTTTTAAGAGATAATTTCTGAAATAAGAGCCTAAATAATTATTTTTCAAGACTTATGGTGAAGGAACTGGTGAGTGGCACTGAGCTTTGGACAGAAGGAGGAAGTAAAACTCTTATGTAAAACACATCCTTAGTGGAAAGGTTTTCCATTACCCTGTTATCTTGGGTCTGTCTTTGGGATATATAAGGAATTAGTGTCTTGCAGCTGTAACAGAAAATAATCTGTGTTACGGCATTAGGCCAGGTCCAGCAGAGGTGAGGCTGCTGCGGTTCCGTGCCCCAGGTCCCACCTGCAGCAGGGCTCAACATGTGATCCCAGTAGGAAAAAAGGTTTTCTTGCTCGGAAAGAGTTAGAAATGGGATTTCCTAAGAAGGTAGAACAAACTGCAGATCAGACAGTACAAGTGTATGGACCAGCCACGGCTTATTTATGTTTGAGCGGCTGCTTTTGTCCCCTTATCCCTCTATTTTCCCACAGAATCATAGAATGGTTTGAGTTGGAAGGGACCTTAAAGATCATCTAGTTCCAACCCCTTGCTGTGGACACTTGTTCCTCCTTGAGTCATCTAGATCCTTCCCTTTCCCTGTTTTTGGTTCCTTCCCTAAACAGCCCATAGTAAGTCTTGTGCAGTCCCAAAACGCTCTTCTCCTGCGTCCTGTACATGTCCTGTACCCTGATGCACTGACCACCTCCCTCCCAAAGGTGCTCCAGAGCTGGCTCCCTGGGATGGATGTCATCTCTGTCTGGTGGAGCTGAGGCTCTCTTGGGACAGCCATCCCTTCCTCCCAGTCTGTAATTTATGTTCCCCCATCTGCCTCTGGGCTTGTGGGGCTGGACCTGGGATGTGCTGGTGGCTCCTGGGGTGGACCTGGGAGTAGCTGGGCAGGGAGTGATTCGGGCTCCCCCTGCCATTGTCTTGGTGCTCCTTCGTTGGTGTGCAGAGGAGCCTCCTATCAGATAGCCAAACAATTTGTTTTATAAGCTGTATAAAGATTGAAACTGTCAATTTTTTTTTTTTTTTTTTTTGCCTTTTTATAGTTGGTGTTAATTTGAATACTGGATTTTGGGGGGTTTTAATATGTTAACAAGTATCAACCTTTTTGTGAGGGGATTATCTGACAAAAAATCTGTCCTGCTTTCCTTTTGCAATTCTGTTTTCCCTCAAAAGTCTAATTTGTTTTCCATAAAATAAATATACCTTGTCAGAGAATATATTTGTCCTGTTACTAATTCACTGGATTTATTTCTAATATTGTATATTGCCCCTATATTGCAAGAATACTTTCCAATTTGACTTTTGGTCTCCAGTGAGCAAAAGAAATGTCTTTTTCTAATACCTGCTTTACTATCGGAAATTAAATTTTCTGGATGGGCGGTCATAAAAGCTAAGCCCAATGAAAAGGTGGTCGGTAATAGATTATTTTTTCATATGAGGTGTATTGGCAGCCAGATGATGGATCTGTGGGAACCTGAAGGTGATGGAAGGGAGCTGCTTTCTTTAGAAATGTATCCTTAGAGATTGATAAAGTGAAATGCAGTTGTGTAAGATCTAATTTATCAAAGAATGTAACGTTTCTGCAAGATGATTTGCTGTTACTTTTCTATATTTTTCTTGGTTTGGGAGTTGCTGATTATCCTCAATTTTGCTTTTTTTGTTTTTCCTCAGTAAAACGCTTCAGAGAACCAAAGCATGAAAGACGTCCCTGGAGGATATGGTATGTTTCTCCATCCTTTGCTCTTAAATATGTGTTTTCTTGCCTGTTTTAGAAATTGAAGGAATGATTGTTTCTGTGTGATGATTAAAAAAGTGGTGACAAGAAATTGGTGATTGAGAGTGAGAAACAAAAGTTACCAAAATGTGTGAATCAATAAAATGTTACCTTTTGTGGGTTTTCCTGCTGTTTCTTTCTTACTAAACACTTCCAGGAATCTCAACAAAAGATATGTGTTTAGACATAAAGCTTCAAGTTGTGCTTCCTCCTGAAGGTGGAAACTTGCAGTTGCCCTAAGATGCATCTGAACATCTACAAACTTAGAGCTAAGCTTACAAGAAGTTCTCAGCTGGGCTTAAACAAAATGCCATGTTCTGTAGCTATCCTACTACATATAAGATAGAAAACAGGATGGTAAGAGATATAAATACATAGGCCATAAAAGAATGCAAGATACAAAAAGTATATTTGTTATTACTTTTAAAAAGTTGTTGGATTGTAGCAATGCCAACATAACTTGTGCTAGTTCAGAGGCTGGTGTAAATGTTAATCTGTTGTACCAGTTGTTGAAGACTCCAGTGGTTTAAAATTATTTTATACAACGCTGCCCTTCATAACTAATCCTGACCTTTATTTTATTGGAACACTAAATACAAAATCTTTGTGTACTGCAGTCTGCCTCACCCTGAAATTCTGAGTAGTGCAGTGAAAGCCTTTAATTTTTAAGCAAAGAATCTTGTTCTGGGACTTGTTATTTATAGCGTAGTGTACTGATAAGAAACTCTCGGGCTTCCTGCCTCATCTCCAACACTCTGCTCTCTGTGTCGTGCAAGGAATGCAAGAGAATAAAGTTTAAGACAAAATTCTCAGGGAGGAGAGATGAGTTCAGGCATAAAATGTTGTTTGAATCTGTTGGGGTGTTTGGGTCTCTTTAGACAATGAAACAACAGGAAAAATGGGTGTTGGCCTGTGTGAAAAACACAGTCTTGTCTACAGAGTGTTTTTGACATGGTTCCTACATTTAACGTTTAATAAAACATCCACTGGAAGTTTTGGTTTGTGCAAAGGATGATGATAAAAGAATGGTAGGGGCTAGAGTCTGTAGTGAATCAGTACCTAAGTAGGTTTTGGTATTTTGGGGCTAGAGTCTGTAGTGAATCAGTACCTAAGTAGGTTTTGGTATTTTCCCTGGAAGCAGCGAACTGTTTTCTCTCTAACTGGCATCTGCTGTGGAGATAATGCTTTCAAGGTTGCAATTCTTTTGCAGCGTGGTCTAAGCTGTTGTACTTTAGATAAAATTCAGCGAGACCACTTAATGCTTTCAGGTGAAAAATATGTTGGCTTTTTAGCAAAATACTATAGATAAGGGAGTCATTAGCCAGCTATTAAATTGTTCATGAACAAGCACATGATGAGGATTTTATTTTTGTCTGTGCTATAAACTTGCTAAAAAGGCATCAACATAAAAGGACTGAAATATCTAGTGAGGCTGGGATACTCAGTGTTTACAAGAGGTTATTAAAGACTTAGCAAGGTTTAGTGAGGATTAGCTCTTGGATAATGCATATGATACCAAGAGGATATCTCTAGACTTTAAAGTCACAGTGGTAGGGTTTCAAGTTAGTATGATTCGGTCAAGTAAAAAAAAAAAAAGGGGGGGGGGCATTTAAAATGGAACATTGTTAAATAAGCTAAATACCATGACACGTCATCATTCTGGTGTTCTCATTTGAAGAAAAAAAATTCATAATTGAGTTGGAATTTTAATTAAAGTAAATTTGCAACATCTGACTGTTTTGCAAACCGTTTTGTGTGTCTTAAAAACCGTTTTTACTCCTTTACAGGTTTTTAGATACTTCCAAGCAAGCCATAGGGATGTTGTTCATCCACTTTGCAAATGTCTATTTATCAGACCTTACAGAAGAAGACCCTTGTTCACTGTGAGTATTAAATTTCAGAATAATTGGTCTTTGTGGTAGTTTTGCAGTTGCGTTTGATGGTCTATGTGGACAATAATGGAAGATAGAGCTGAGAAACCAATTTTCATAGTAGAAATCAATCCCTTTCAGAAACCTCTGGTTTTAGCTTAGTTAATCAAGGATGAAAGTTGTGCTCTTTAAGTTCCTGGTTTGGCAGGACCTGGGAAAGATTTTTTTTTTTTTTTTTCTGGGCTGTATATAGATATTTTAGACCGAGGGTAAACTTACTGCTACTTCCTCTCCAGTTACTGAGGGAGGACTCGGGATGCACAGTGTCATATGAGGCTGTTCACTGAAGGAGGTGCTAAGGACCAAAGGAAATGAGGATAAAGTGGTGTGCACTGACCTCGGGCTGCACTGTTCGCTGCAGTAAGGCTTTAATATAAATTCAGATTGCTTTCAGGGATATTTAGTAAAAATCATTCTTGCTTGTATTTTTTTCTAAAACTTACATTAGCTATTGCAGTAGTATTTCTATTTTGTTAAGAGCAGGAAATCTTGCTAGGTACCCAGGCAGTTAGTACAAAAATTAATTTTGCAATGTCACGCTTGGAGCAGTGTGACTAAGTAGATAAGCATTTCACTGTAGTATATTAAACCTGAAGATTTTATGACTAAGACCCTGTCAGGCTCTTTACAGGAGCTCCTGAAGCAAATGGTAATTGTTTGGGTTTGTTCTTGATAGAGCTCATGCTCAAAAAAGCTTACACGTTCCTGGCAATAGAAGCTGTGAAATTAGTTTTAAAAGCCTAGTAATTTGCCCTTTAAAACCAATCCAGTTCCTTCAATGGCATCTGCTCACTGTTGTCCTTTGGTAAACAAAGGAGCTACACAGCTCGAGGAATATGCTTGTGTTGCTTCACAGGCCTGTTTTATTTCCCTTGTTCCTCCTTGGTTTCTTTTGTGTTCCTACATGCTGTAACTGTGCAAATAAAACACTGCTTTTCTCTCCCCGCCACAAAGCATTTTGATAGGGAAAATTTTGTATATTTTAACACACTAACTGTAAAGTTTAGGTTGTAATTATGACAGTTTCAATAATACCAGGCATCATTGTAGGATTTTCCTTGCTTGCTGATTTAAGAATTTTCTGATAGATTTTAAAACTGGCAGGCGCAAATTACTTTCGTTCAATTTTTCTATATTAAAGTATATGTTTGTGTAAGCTAACCAAAGCATGTGTAAAATTGCCAGTGTTTAAAGCTAAAGCTCAATGCTTTATTTACAAGATTTTAAAATTAAAAATAACTTAGTGCTGTGTACTGAGCTTTCAAGATAAAAGGTTTGTTAAAGTGTGTTTTCTTCTGCATATTTTAATATAGTCTATATAACTATTTTTAAATACTACTTTTCATGGAAGTGTAACGTGACACAAAACAAGTGAGAGGGTGAGGTAGAGACTGTTATTCGCCATTCTCGGGATAACAATTTCAATGTGGAGCTGTATCATTTTTCAGATAAGGGTGCGGGTCCTCCGTGTTAGCAGAATAAATAGCATGTTGTATCATCCAAAGCCACTTATCCTCTCTTGGGGAAAAATATATCTTAAGTGTGCAAGTGAGTCAAAATCAGTGAGCTAAAGCAACGTTTCTGTCTGTGACTTTAAATAATAATTTTACTCAGCAAATTCAAACATGAATAGCTTTCTGTTCTTTCCTGTTTTGTAGTTTTTGGGTTATTTTTAGAACAAGACCAGAAAATGCAGTTTTAGAAAACATTGTGGTTCAAAGCTTGGGAAGAACTACAACCGGAAGTTGTTGTTTGTTATTTTGGGAGCGTAGTGCTGTAATTCAGGCAGGTACGTGATAATATCAGAGCTGATAAAACATCTGTTAAAACACCTCGATAGACAGGTGGGGGTTTGAAGGATTTTAAACAGGTAAAGCAAAGGGCATTCTCCTCTGCAGGGCCGGGCACTGGGCTGTCTGTATGTGGGACATGGGGAAGCTTGTGTGAACCCCAGCCTTTCCATCACTGAACTCTCAGTCAGATGGGTGGATCTGAGGGGCAGCAGCTCCTTGGGGTGCTCTTGGTGCCAGGGCAGGGGTTACACATGAACAGGGGTGGCTACTACAGCACAGCATGGGGCCAGTGGTTGCCTGCACGTCGTGAGCCTGATGTGTTGGGGAATATGGGGCACGCTCTGCCTGCGCTGTGAGCCCTAATGGGATGTGAAATAGGTGTTGGCACAGCTCCTCTCCCTGCTCCCGATGGCTGCCTTCCTCCTACAGGCTTACAGCAGCCCCTTGTGGCCTTAAAATGACTTGTGAAGACTTGTAATTGCCGAGTTTCCTCTGCCAAACTCTAAACCTTGATCTTAATGTTTGGCTAATACGGAGTTCATTAAAACACTGGTTTGACACGCAACTCTTAGAAAATAACTATTTTTTAGAAAGCTTATGGGTCAGTCTTGGCTGAATCAAGACACACCCGCTTCATTTTTATTTTTGAGCTGTTCTTGAATGGGATTTTGAGGGTCAGAACAACTCTTCTGTGACTGTTTTGAATACACTTATGCTGTCTTTGCTTTCCTGTTTCTGATACTGTTTTGCCCACATGGATTTCTCTCCGCAGCCAGCAGACACCCACAGGTCTCTGGTTTGCTATTTTTATCCCTGCAGATAAGTTTCTATAAAGTCTAGAGTTTACTATTTGAAATTACCAAATAAGAAACTCAGTAACAGGGATTTATATGTGTCTTCTATTTGTCTCCTTCTCAGCTGCTGTTTTGTTTAGCTAAAATTGGTGATAATAAATAAACTAAACTGACTTATAAAATGCTCTGAATTTCAGCTGTACCATTTAATGAACCAAAGAATTAATTTGAAACCGACAGTAGTCTCTAGTTTCTTGAAGCATAGGTAGGATCCCAGAAGCTCTCCTTGAAATAATAAAATCAGTAGTGCAGCAGTTGTGTGTCTACTGAAGGGTGGTTTGTTTTATTGTTCTATTTCTGGAAAGGCTTGTTCCTGATTATTTCAAGTGTTTATTGGACAAGAACTGAAGTGCAAAAAAGTAAGAAGTTTTTTTTTTCCTGACACTAAGTTGAAATTTGACCAGATAGTGACTGTGCTCTCTAGGCGTGGTGTTCATCCCTCCTCCTTGAGGCTGGGAGGGGGCTCCCTTGAGCAAGAAAAACTGTCTAGTTTTTCCCTTGGGAATAAGAGTGGTTTGGGTTGGGTTTTTTTTACTTTCAAATTCCTTCATGTGTCTCTAGGATAACTTCTCTTTTTATTCCTTTTCCATTTAGTCTTTTGGTTTTATTCAAATACACTTTTTCCATGCAGAATGAACTTAGCAGTTGTAAAAAGGAAATCTGGTTTTAATTTAAAGGAGTAAAATTAATATTGGAGTTTCTGTAGAGTATGCACATGCACGGATCAGAATTCATGAAAATAGAAGTCGAGGCTTAACTTTAAGGACAGAAAAAAATAATATTAAGAGTCTTCTAAAACTACTTAAATTTTAGGGTAATTATATTATTACAGAAATGGATCAATGATTATTTTCAATACTCGGCTTCTCAACATATATACAGATCTTTTGTCAATCGTGGTATTAAAATACACTGAACTTGTAGAAAATGGACCCTTGCTCCTTGTTTTCTTTTACCTTTTTCCTTTTAGGTACCTTATCAACTTCTTGTTAGATGCCACATTAGGAATGCTGTTAATCTACATTGGGATACGTGCCGTCAGCAGCATTGTGGAGTGGCAGCAGTGGGAGTCCCTTCGCTTTGGTGAATATGGTAAATGTTTCTGTTCTTGCACTGAAATTATTTTCAGGATAGAGTCTCACAATATTTCAGCTGGTGGTTAACTCATCTTAAAATCGTTATACAATTATTATGGTGGTCATTTTAATATTTCATTTGTCATGAGGCTTCTTTTAAGTTCTCTATCTCAGCATGTGCCTTACCTTCTGTGTTAGGAACCTCAACTAGTCTGTATGCATTTAGTGAGTTTGGAACAACTGCTTGAGTATTTATTTTTTTAGGAGTGATCGAACAAATTACGATATTGGCTAATCTCATGGAAAAAATAAGTCTGTAAACTTACTCTGAAACACTTCTAAACAAACGATAGCTGGAATGTCATTTCCTAGTAAAGCTTTCACTGAACCACATGCTGTTGTCTGAAGATATGGGCTAAGAGTCCTGCCAGCCCTCTTTAAACAACCACGAACCTTCAGTGAAGAGAATGGCAAGGAGGCCTGTGCTTGTCCTCAAGTAACAATCACTCAAACTCCTGCACATAAGGCTTGTATCATTGATAAAAAATGCATATGTCTTTCATACAGGCTGAGGGACAGACTAGTGACATCGCTTTTATGTGAAGTTGTGGGTTTCATCTTCCATTACGTTAGCCACAGAAGTCCACTTATCTACAGAAACTGTGGATTTGCAGATGCAGTTGGGTATCATACATACTCAACATCAGCATTTAATTCTGTGCAACCTGTTATTTTCAGATTGCTTAGTCTGGCTGGTTGGCAATGGAAGTTCTGTGTAGGTGCTGAAAATTGAATTTGGTGCTCCTTGAGATAGGAATGGGGGAGAGGTTACTTTAAAAGAGAGCTATGAGTCTTCATCAGAGAGAAAAACAAAGAAAACCTCTGGTTTGGAAAAATAAAGTTAAAATAATGTTTACCTAACACAGTAAAAGCTTTTATAGCAGTTTCATAATTATCATCAGTAGTTTTTTTTGTTTTGTAAGTTTCTTTTTTTTTTAATGATTCTAAGTGGCTGATGGAATTAAGAGTAAATAAATAAAGGCCTTTTCAAGTAGAAGTACCTTAAAAGCTTGGGAAGTTTACAATTAAATGGCATTAAATGCTATTTGCTTGAATGTCAGAGTTTTAAAATAGAGATGATGGCAAGCATCTGTCTTAGGAGAAATAACTGCCTATACCAGTAGGGCATTTTTTGTTAGATTTATGTATATTTAATGTGTATCTTTTAGGGTAGAGTTTATGGCCATTTTAGCTATTTAAATCAGCACTGCCACAACCCTGTTTATCCACTTCTTGTTTTTTCCCACGTGCCACAGTCCAATATTTCCACTCTTTTCCTTGGACTGGTGCACTTCTGACTCTTCAGGGAACTGTTTCAGAGCGCTAAACCATCAGAAAATTCACCATATGTAGAAAAGTAAATAGTTCCTCCAGATCAGTGCCCAGACTTGGGTCTCTAGGGGATTAGGTAAGCACCAGTGCCCAGGGAAAGGAAAAAGGGCAAGGAAAGAGCTGAGACATTTCTGAGCTGCACCTTCTGACTGAGCTTTGAGACCTGTTGCCCAAAGTCCCTTTTTCTGATTGTTGATTTGGCTTGAAGCCATTTAAAGATGTTTGAACAGCTTTCAGCCCGTATAAAACTGGCTTCCCACTCAGAGCAAATAAAAAAAACTTGGCGTATCTATTACAATTATAGGTTGGTACTTGTAATCATGTCAAATACTAGATTTGGTTTCTTCCTAACAGCATTCTGTCTTTTCTTGTATAATCTGTTCTGTCCCATTTTAATATCTTTTTAATAGTAAGTGGTCTGTGTGAATGGGAAGATGGGGGAGAATATTCGCTCTCCTGAAATTTGTCTCTATCTCTTAGTGACTTCCAAAATGAAGCTGTTTTTATCCTAGTTAGTTATGAGGCATCTGTGACTGCAGTAACTAAGCTCTTAAAATCAACAAATGAACTTGTTACTTACATTATGCTGTGGAGGTGGTCTGCCAGTGACCCATTATTGTCGTTTTGAGTAAGGGGATCTGAAATGACTAAACTTGCTTATCAAGTATTTCTTCTCTATGTATGTGTGTGTATAAGCGATATATGAAATTACAGAAGTCCCTTTACTTAGTTGTTCTTTCCAATATCAAATCATTTGATTAGTGGCTAACACTTTTCTGAATCTTCATTAATGTGCTGTCTTGACTTTAGTGTGTTGGTTTCTTAATCAAGCTATCGTAAGCACTATTCAAAAGCATATTGTGAATCTGTGTTGCCATGAATCATGTGGGAGAGGTTTATGGTATTGAGGGACCTAGAAAGCAGATGGGAAGTTATTAGTAATGGCTCTGCAGTAAGGTTAGACCCCACATAAGAAATCTGTCTAAAAAGGACAATTTTCATTGGATCGTTTGCTGCCCTCTTCTGTTACGTACTGCTGTCATTTCTGAAGTGCAAACCTTCATATTAGCATTTTACTTAAAATTTTTCACTTTGCCCCAAGAAACTTTTGTATTATTTTTTGTAAGAGTCTTTAAAATAATTAAGTAGGGTAGACGAGGGGGGGACTAAAATGCAGTCCTATGTCCAACTGTGTTTAGACGTAGTATTTTGAAGTTAAATGTGGATGTTTAGCATACGTGGGTGGTGAGGTGTCTGCTCACTGAAAGGTATCAGAGACTTGTGGCATTTTATCTGAGGTAGTAAAGTCGAGTCCTCAGCACGGAGATCAGTGTGATTTCAGTTTGTTTGCAAGTGTAAGAAAACAAACAAGTGCCCCCTCCAAGTCTCTTCTTGTGATTGAGCGATGTTGTTTGTGTTTCTAGAGCCTAAATAATCATTTGTCTCAAGTTAATTCTCACTGTGAGCTCATTTCCCTTCTTAGCTCTATTACTTGATCCCTGGTGATTCATTACTTGAAGCTGTCACAAAAATAGCAGTGTCCTGCTGGTTTTAAAAGCCTCTTCTTTATATGGAGGATAGTTTTTAAGCATAAATGCCTCAAGGAAAGAATGGGTACCAAAATATCAGCATTCATAAATGATTGCTCTTTGTACAGCAAAAAGAGCAGTGCACGCTGATTCACAAACAAGTAGCATGATGCTCCCTCAAGGGCTTTTTTATGCCAGAATTTCTCTTTATTAGATTTGTATTCATATTTCTAGGTTTGTATTTTCAGATTCCTTGCATCAGCAGCTGGATTTTAATAGAAGTGCAGAATCAATTAGTGTATTTGAGGACGTAAAGAGGACGTAAAGAGGAGAAAAGCAGTCATGATCTATACTGAAAAGAATGTTCCCTGCGTTCTCCTTCCCTTCTTGTCTTAGGCTACTTTAGCTGCTGTGAGTAGAAAACAGGTGACTAAACCCCTCTTGGTGACAATGAACTCTTGGCAACTAAATCGTGCCCTGGTCTCTTTGCTTGTCTTTGCTTCTCAGATGGCAGAGCTTAGAAATCGTATTTGATGCATCTTTTCCCACTGGCTCTTTGTTTGCAACTTGCAGAGCAACTTATTTATAGCCATACAGGGTAGATAGCACTTATTTTTAAAACTTTTTAAAATTTATTTTGGAGTAGTTCTGTGAGTTGGCATTTTCTTAAGAATATTTCTCAGGATTTGAAGAACAGAGAGAAGTTACAGGATAGAGGAATCACAGCTATTTTGTTCGAGAGCTGTCTACAAATGTGCTTCTACAAAGAGGCTGCTGACAATAGCACACACTAATTTAGACTAGTTTTTCACTGCCGAGCACTTTTAAAAAGTGCTGCTGCAGTTGTCACTGAGGATTCAAAATTTTTCAGTTTTGGTCTTAATGCACTTTTCTTGCAGTAACAAGATTTCTACTGAATTGCTAGTTTATTCTAGACATGTAATTTGTACATGACAGGTATAAAATCAGAATTCAAGAGAGACTGTCAGAGATGTTAGAAATTAAATTAGAGCTTTATGGCTTCAACATTAACTTTAAAGTTCTAATTTGCGTTTGTGTACTGATTCTTTGAACTTACAAATATCCCAAATATTCTTGGGAACGGCTCCTGGGTGTGGTGATGTTATTAACTTCTGGTTTTTCCCTTGAATTGCATAGGTTATAAAATCATAGTAAAAAATTGATTGGAAAGGGTCTCCAGGGGTCATATAATCCAACCTCTTGCTCAAAGCAGGGTTACCTTCAAAGCTAAAGCAGGTTGTTCAGGGCAGGTGGTCCAGTCTTTAATTTATCCATGGTTTGAGATTTAAGAACCCGTTTGAACAACTTACTTTAGTGCTTAACCACTTGCATTGTGAAAGCCTTTTTCCTTTATGTCAGAATTGTACATTATATACTACTCGTTGGTATATAACACCAACTTTTCTACAAAGTTCCTATTGGGAGACTGTCAAAAGACTTGGTAAATTCAAAGCAGACAGCATCCCTCTTCTCCCCATTTTTAATTAGAACTGAGAGATAATTTGGTTGATGCAGTAGGGCACACAAAAATCCTCAAGTGGAATTTAATATACACAACTTCTAATTTCAGTCATGTACCAAAAAAACAGCACCCCTCCCCACAACAACATCATGGAACAAAACATTCCTTGGTGATAGTGCACAATACTCTTAATACAGAGTTTCATAATTTTTGGACATACAGAATCTCATGGGACAGAGTTGGAATAGATGCAAAATTGCTATCGCTGTCTTTGCTTTTAGGAATTAAATACAGATTTGAAAAGATCTTAGAATAAATTGTTTCAATGGTAGTCTGTAGCTAAAGCTAGATTTAGTTCTTTTTTTCCTGTTTGCTCATTAATGAAGAAAGCTAGAGAGTGCTAATAAAAATGTGCAGTATAGAAATAAATTGCTAAAATTTAATTCTTAAACTTAACTCAGGCTTTGTATCTTCAGAAAAATCACAGTTGTTCAACTTTGAATTACTGGTGTTTCCCATTTCAAATTTTCTGTTGTTTTTTTTTTACAACAGAGGCCATAAACTCTAGTATATAATTGTAAAACTTGAGCATTTTAAACATTTTTCTTTTGGACTCTCAAGCTCATGAGGGTCGATCACTAGCTCTTGCTGTAAAACTTGCTTAGGAATTTTTCTTTGTTCTGGACTCCAGTCTGATTTATCAATTTCTGTTTGTGCCATTTAAGCAGCAAACAGTAAGACGGGAAGTCTCAAGACTCTTACGAAGTATTAATACTGAAAGCCTTTCAGAAACATTCCAGAAAAGGAAGTAGCAACTATCCATTATGCATTACAAATACATAAAGGCATCTGAATTTCCATTGCCCATTATTCATCTCCGGGCTAAAAGTTTTAAGCCGCCTTTGAAGATGTTGTGAAGTGCTGCTTTAAGCTCACATACAAAGCTTCTTAGGTGTACCAGTCCTCCTTTTTTTTTTTTTTTTTCTTCCCCTTCCCCCCCACCTTGCTTTTATAGACTATAGTAGTCTACACACATTTTTGTGTTCAAATATTTGTGGTCTTCCTGTTTCCATTAAGTTTTTTCTTCTAAGAAACTCAATACTTCATGATAAAGGGTCAAAAATAACAATTTGATGAGAAACAAATGTAATCCAACTGTATGTGTCTTGCTTTCCTCAGATTATGTAACTTGGTGAGCATATAACCAGGTACTGCTGAATTGGATAAAGTCCTGTTTTATTCCATTTCTTATACTTGTTGAAAGTTAGGTGAGGCTGAGGGAGAAGAAGGAGCAGTGCTAAGGCAACTGGAGAAGGCACTTAAGGAGGCTAGAGCTGCCCTGCCTCGTCTCATACTGCTCTTCTAAAATGTTTACTGTGAAGTAAAGTCAACCCTATGCCTGCATTGAACCTTTCTTCTTTCTTGCAGGGGACCCAGTGCAGTGCAGTGCTTGGATGGGCCAGTGTGCTCTCTACATAATGATTATGACATTCGAGAAAACCATCATCATTATAGTGCTGCTTATACCTCAGTGGAAAGAGGTTTGTGTTTTCACAGCGTTGTACAGACAAATGAATTTGAGGTGGAAGCTGTAAAGCAATAGACTTCTAACAGTGGTTCTTGGTTTGGCTCCAGCATCATAACTGTCTACAGCCAAGGCCATTTAACTCCGTGGCAGTGGCACCTTCTTTTGGCTTGGTTAGGATATGGTTAATTAGGCTTTCTGGCATCCATTGCCAGGAATATCCTGTCATATTTTGGAGGTTTTTTTATATACTGCAATATATAAAATTTTACTCTATCTCCTTGTCTGAATGCTCTTGAAGCTACTAAGTGGTTCTTCCTTTTGTTAAGTCTTTAACCCTTACTTGGAGCTATTTTGTATTGCTTCTTACAGTATTTTAAATAATTTTCTTTGCCTGACCTTGTTGATAGATCTAAAGTGTAGAAATTTAGTAATTTGCAATGGATTAGCGAAGACATTGCTGATGATCAGATATTTACTTTGATAGAATCTGTGCAATGTAATACTCAAAGTGATAGTGTGTGGTGTTATAGCCCATTAAAACCAGTTAGTCCCTGTTATGTGCTCTGGACTACTTTGGGAACTCTGTCTTCTCCTTACTGTGTGTGTTGTGAAATGCTGGTCTGTTTAAATTTCCTAAAGATGGAATTGAAAACAAGACCCTGGGGAGCACACAGCTCTTAAATGTTCAAGATGATTCTAATGTAGCTCCTCGGACCTCTGTAAACACAAATGGCAGAGATAAGTTTCTCGCCAGCCCCACTTATCTGTGGTGATTTATAAGCTGTCCTAAGTACTTTCATTTTCTACAAAACTGCCCTTTTTTGGTTCATATGAATTCTTTCCGTAGCATTAGCTAGAACATGAACAACTGCACTTGCTAATCCAGTTCTGTGCATATGCTGCCATGATCTGAATTTAATCTTTTTTTCTTTCCACAGGTAGCTTTATTGAATCCCATAGAGAACCCCCAGTTGGAGCTGGCTATTGTCATGCTGATAGTTCCCTTCTTTGTTAATGTTAGTACAACTTGCATGCTTCTGTGAGATGTTTACTTGGATATCTTTCTGCCATGTGTTAATTAATTAACATTAGTCCCTAAAGCACAATGTACCTTGGTGCTTAATTGATTTTTAAAGGTGTTAAAGAAGGGATGAAATGTCTGGATGTTTGGATATGTCTGGATTTTACAAAGCTGAAATCTGGTTGAACTAAGTAACCAGGCTCAGGAGAGGTTCAGAAATGCCTCGTAGACCTCTTTGGCATGATGACTTCAGTAGAATGAATGAAATACTGACATAGAGACTATAAAATTACAATGAAATTTGCTTTAGGAAACAGTTGGTGTAAGGATAGCTGTGCTGTGAGGTATCCTGTGTCTGGCCATAGCTAATGGTGGCTGACCTATGATGGAGCAGAGGAAAAGGGCAAGTGCACAGTCATCCTTCCCAAAGTGTACTCTTCCAGCAATCTGGGAATTAGGGACTAGAGCCAGAGGTGGTGGGTGTCCTTGCATTTAATAACTGCTGGTAATGATTATTTTTTCTGTCCTTAATTTGTTCAAGTGTGAAATTTATCCTTTGAGAACTAAAAGTCTGTTGGACTGAGATGTCTGCCTAAACTGTTCTACATGAAGAGTTTCATATGCGAGCACTCTGAATAGCAGCTACTTTTCTTATTTTCTTCTCTTCTACAACAGATAAAAGTAGCTATGTTCTAGAGCCTTCATGCAATATGTAATAAGCCATGTGACATTCTGTCCATACAATACTTTTCCTGTTTGGCCAATTCAGAATTATTGTCAAGTTTTCTTAATTCTGTCCAAATACTGACTGAATGAACATATACAACTCCAAAGAATACTGAACTGTCACTTCCTCCTTCTCTTTATCAGGCATTAATGTTCTGGGTAGTAGATAATTTTCTTATGAAGAAAGGGAAGACAAAAGCTAAACTTGAAGAAAAGGAAGCAGGACAAGATTCAAGAAATGGAAGTAAAGTCCGATACAGGAGAGCAGCATCACATGAGGAGTCAGAGTCAGAAGTAAGTAGAGTTAATTATTGCAATTGAGGGATATCAATCCAGTTCATCCCTCATGGAATTGATTTCATTGTAACGCTGTTCAACTTAGCTTTGATTTTCTGTGCATGTACCTCTAACAGTAGTTCCCAGCATTTGCAGTTGAAAACCAGTTAAGAAAAATGGCATCGTTGCACCGCTCATAGTAGTGAATTTCCTTCCAGATGGGCAGGAAGGCATAACAATATATTTAAATGTCACAGGTGAACTGTGTTACAAATGCTTCTAAAAAAAACCCACACAGAATATAAAACTAATGGACAACTCTAATTGTGAGAGGAAGCTGGTGGAGGCAACTGGCCTGATTTTGGAGAAGTATTTACATCCTTGCCTCAGCGTAATTTTATTCTAAATTCTAATAAGTGGGCAGTTTTCAGTTCAGCTGAAGAATGGGTGATATCTTTGAAGGTGAGTTGTTTTAGCTTTAGTTAGTTAATATAATTTTTCTGCGCTACAGACAGTATTATTTATATGGGGTTTTCTTTAATAAAATGACTGCCATATACCAGTGTGGATAGAGAGCTTATATATTCTCTCTTGTTTTAACAAGCCGCCCCCACTGATGTGGAGGTGCTGGAATCACTTCTTTAGGTTTAGAATCAGTGATTGTAGTAGAGATTAATACTAATGCATCCTTCTTTGAAATTTACTGAAGGTTCCAGATAAGATGTGTGACGTTGTTTGATAGTACTGGCAGTAAATCCAAATTGTGTTCTGTAAGCTCTTTCTTGAGCAAGTAATAAGGTGCTTTGCAAGCATAAAAAAAGTAAAAGGTTAAAAGCAGAATAAAAACAGAGCATGACTTTGATCCGTGTTACTCAGAAGCTGTAATTTGTTTTTAGATCCTTATTTCAGCAGATGATGAGATGGAGGAATCAGACGCTGAAGAGGACCTGCGTAGACTGACCAACTTAAAGCCCATTAAGAAGAAAAAGCATCGTTTTGGTCTGCCTGTATGACACGTTCCCCGACCTGTGTATGTGCAGGTTTCGTGGCAAAAACTTCAGTCAGTGGGTTTTAATGTTGCAATTGCATCTCCCTTTTCATACAAAGGCAAAGTCTGCCAACAGAAGGCGGTCGGCTGGAAGATTTCCAGTCCAGTTGCACTACAGACACACTGACCAATTATGCAAGAATGTCTTTTCATCACGTGTGAAAAACACAGCGTTGTTGAGGACCAGGTGCTGGGGGGATTTGTATCTGATATTTCAGAGAAGATCATAGAAAACAGATACAGTTTAAGATGTTCTCCAAAAGGCATCAGAATCAACTAAGTTAAAGGAGTGTGTTTTATTACTAAAACTGGCTTTTGCAGCATAATTCCTAGAGCAGAATAGTTTATGGTTACAAGCTGTAACTTAACATTATTTTTTTAAGTACAAATGTTTACTTGCTACCGGGTACCTATGGAACTAATAGGTGGAACAAAGATTTTTTTCCAAGGCTCCTCAAATCTATTTGACTATTTTATATTTAAGTTATATTTTCATACAGTTGTATTTAAAGATTCTCTTTGTCGGAGAAAAGGGTGTGGTTCCCTTTTTTGTGCAGAACAGGTCAAAAGATTTGTAGTGAAAATCTTATTTATCCTTGTGTCCTGGTTTAAGACAAAGGGATTGCAAAGGGAAAAGCTCTCTGTCACTGCTGAAGTCACCAAATATCACTAAAAATGCAGTCCTAAATGTGCTTTTGACCACATAATTTGAAAATACCTTTTTTTTTTTTTTAATAGGAGGTGGTGTTTGCATATTTGACAAACGTGCACTTTAGTGTATAACAAAAATCTGTTGTGATAGGTTATTTGTGAAATTAATAACTATGGATGACACTAATTATTTCTGTTTGTGCAAGTCTCTTGTGCATACCTCTCAAATGACCCAAAAGAGATGGAACATTTCTTGTACTTTTCCCTGCAGTGCTGGACCGTGATCTGACTGAAACAGTTCTGCTACAGTATTGCAAATAATTCTGTCCCATGGTTTTTGTTGAGAAAACAATCTTCTACTTAATACGCTTAAAAAAAATATCTCCTGCTTAATTTCCATAAAGTTTGATTATTCTTTAGTAGTGAGTAAAAAAAAAAAACCTCGAGAGGTATAATACAGTTGTTACTACAGAATTTTTGTCATTTTCAGTGTGTGTCTTTTGATAATACGTGCTTATCTGAAACCTAGCAGACATGTCTTCAGTGACATCCTTTTGCTTTGAATATTTTCTTAAATGATTGTTTCTGACAGCTTTCCTTGTGTAGTTAAACCTTGTGCAGGACAAGGCAATGTGTCAAAAAGGTGACAACAGACCTTAATTGCAAATCTGTTGTAGTATCTGGACATCGGAAATGTTCCAAGCCTTAAACTAAACAGTTTCATTGGAAAACTGCTCAGAACTTTTTAAGATTTTTTTACATTTTTTATAGATTTACTAGGTCTTAATGTGATTTGTTATCCAGACCACTTAAATGGGGTTCTTGGGCCTTAGTAAATACTGAACTGTGCGCTCCTGTACTTATTTTCACTATTCCAGCATTCCTTTTCACTGCATGGCTGCCGAGGTGGACACAATGTTCCCAGACTTCAGGTACACCTCAGCCTGTCCAGCTGGCCAGAAGGGACATTTTACCAAACGTTTGTGAGTTTAGTTGAGCCACTGACCTCTGTTACTGTGCACTGAAATGTAATAACTGCAATAAGTTTAAGTACTAGTGTTTCTTAGAATCATAGAATGGTTTGGGTTGGAAGGGACCTTAAAGACCATCTGGTTCCAACCCCCCTGCCCTGGGCAGGGACACCTCCCACTAGACCCAGTTGCTCTTTTAGACTAAATCTAGAAACAAATGACAGTGGAAGGTTGAGTTATTCTGAAATGGGGGGGTGGGGGTATGGGGAAATATCCCTAATCAGTGTTGCCTCTGTTCTGGGTTTTTTGGGTTTTTTCATTGATTGTGTGACTTCTCTTGACTATTTGCCACTGGGTGGGCGCATATCTCCAAAAGCACAGTACTTCAAGGAATTCATTTTCATGAACAGAATAGTCTCATACAGCTCACTTTTCCAAAGGGATTTAAGAGCTAGGACTGGCTCTTGTCACAGATGTCAGCATTTATTTTTTTAGCATAGGATTTGTTCTATTTCAGATAGTGAAATAAAGCTATTCAACACGTGCTTCATGCCACTGCACAGCCACCGCTGTCCTCGTCATCCGTCAGAGATAACTGAGCAGCGCACACAAATTTAACTGTACGAGCTTTCATTTTATCTTCCTTTTCCCTCTTCTTCTCCGGTAACTGAAATTATCAGAATTATTTCTAGTTCCAGTCTCATGTTTAATCTGTGAAGTGTCAGTATAAAACTATGGCCTTAATCATGTAAAAATATTTGTTTTGAGCAGACCTCAAAGTTATTGACCAAGTACAAAACAGTGTAAAGCACTATGGAGCAGTTTCTTGAAGATGGTTATAGCAAAGGTATACGAATTCCCAATTTTTCATGTCATAAAGTGCTTAAATGTCACTTGTTTTGAGATTTTGGTATGCCCAGTGAGATGATGTAGTAAAGCACTATGAGCCAAAGAGACAGAAGTATTATAAATACCACAGTAGTAACAGGAGGAGCATATCTTTGGGGGGTGGGAGGGAGAGAAACAACTCTAACCTTCTCTACTAAGATAAAAATTTTATTTGCAACCTTAGCCAATAACAAAAATGGGGTTTTTTTTCTAGTCAGTCTTTTTTTATCATGTGAAAGAGATGGAAAATGTGAAATTGGCAGTTTTCTTCTTTGCAAGATAAAAATTGGAATTCTTGCAGAAGGTACAGGTGGGATGGGTGCTCTTGGCTGAAGAACTTGTATGTGTGAGAAGGAAGTATGTGCCTAGTGCTTCACTATGTCTTACTGTTCGTTGAAATGTATTGGCAGCACAGTCCAAAATAAATTTTTCGTAAAGAGTTGATCCAGTAATAATGTTACAAGATGACAACATTTGCATTATCCTCAAATTGGCGCTCGAAATTTATGCCTGGTAAATGGACTTTGGGACAACTCACAGCAAAGGTTTAATTCGGGCTGTGCTTAAAAAAATGTGAGTCTGTTTAATGAAAATAAGCTACGTAGTATATGCCAAAGTAAGAAAAAGGGATTGTAACTTAGAGAAGAGACAGAGAAGTATTAGTGGAGATCAAATTTACCACGAATGGTCAACCTAAATGTATTAACTGTTCCTAGTATCTGACCTGTGACACATCTGCGTAAACTTAAAACACTGGTGTTGTCTAATACGTGGTTTTCAAGTTCTGGCTTTAATACGTTCAGGTCCCCTTGTCTTACTTTGAGTAGGTAAATGCTGTATGTTCTTGTTGCTAACTAAAATGTACTATAGCTTTTCTTCAGGGAAAACTCAGAAATTGAGTTGCAAATTAAAGCAATGCAAAGTGATCCCCTCCGGCAGGTGTCTGCTCCGATGCTGGGGAGGGAGATGTGGGCTCTCGCGCTCTGCGGGGGGCCGAGCATCACTCGAAATTTCTGCCACTGTGCTTGACTAACCCATGTTTGCAACTTTGCTGTGCTTTTTACAGGGGAAACCAGTAACGAAAGCGAGTAAGTTCAGCCGCGTCAAGTCAGAGTAGATCTACAGCATAGGCGTGCAAACTTTTTTTAGGTAAAGTTTCCAGTTCAATTACTGAAAATGACTACTATGGTTTTACAAAGTAAAACTGCAGTATCTTTAAAAAAGGGACTCTTTTGTAGGTGTTTTTGTCTTGCGTGGGTATCTGTCTCAAACTGAATGTTGGGTTTGTTTGTGAGTAAATTCAGAGTATAGCCTATGTGAGCGAAACCAACAGCTGTATTCTGCTGCCCTCTGTTTGGACCATATTGTTTAATCAGTGGTGTTACCTTTAACTTTTAAGGGTATCTGATGTAATTACATTGTATAATGGTTTACAATAAAGTTTGACTTATTACAGATTTGTACACTTGTTTTATACTTGTTCTGTTTAAAAGTGCTTGTGTTTCAATCTCTATAATGTGCCGTTGTGGGAAGCAGGTTTTGCTGCAGAGTTTACTGCAGATCTACCATTTTGCACTCTCCTGTTGGTATTAATTTCAATATATTCATTTACCTTAATAGCAAGTCCCATTTCAGTTGGAGGGGACACTATTCTTAAGTAGCAAATTTTGTTTACGACTAAGAATCTGTGCAAGCTCTTCTCTGGTACATTCCCTGAGGGAGGGTTTTGCCCTCTGTGTGCACACATGGAGAATAACCATCTGTATTTTCATATTGAAAATAAAATCTTTGATGTGCAACCTGAGAACTCCCGAGATGGCAGAACATTGACCTGAGGCCTTCTGGAGTGTAGGATGTTGTTAAAACACTTTAACCACACAGCTGATGATCACACCCTGCCTTCGGCTTCTCGAGCAAAGCCAGACCTTTTGGACATTGGCAGCAAGAACTTGTAAAAATATCAACTCCTGAATTTCCCTCCCACGTCCTGCCCTTGGCAGAGGCATGGCCTAATTCAGTAACCTGTTAACCTGTTTTATCTTCTGTTCCCCTTCTGATTTCTTTGCAGCAGGTGGTAGAAATGGAAGCTGAGGGAAGATGTGTGAGGATCCTGTTGAGAAGTTTGTTGGTGCAGTGCCCTGTATCACACAACTCAGGCAGTGCCTCCTCGGAGACAGGAAAGGGCCAGGTGGGGGATGTCTAGTTCTAGCACCGCCTCCTCGGAGACAGGAAAGGGCCAGGTGGCCCAGGTGTCTAGTTCTAGCACTGAGTAGCCTCTCTGTCCCCTGTCTCCACAGGACAACATGCTGGAGATGACCAGTGTCTTCTTTGCTTACTTTAGTCTCTGCTACTTCCCAAAACCATGCAAAGGGGACGAGGAGAGCAGCGCTATTTGATTTCTGTCTGACAAAAGACGTCACTCCTACGTGCTATCCACATAGCGCAGAGTTGTACCTTAAGCTCCAGGGAAGCAGCTTCTTTGATTACCAAAGTGCCTTATTATACCTAACAAAGTGAGTATAGCCCTAGCTTGGGTTTTTTCTGCTTTCTTGGGCAGAAAATGCCATCTTCCTCTCCAGGTTCCCTGGAGGAGTGGTGAGGCATCTAGCATCAATTTTCCAGAGAGCTGGAGGAATGAGGCAGGGCCGCATAGGACAGGAGCTGGCTCACCGCGAAGCTGTAACATGACCATGTGCAGGTGATTGATTTTTATTTATTTTTTTTAATTTTTTTAGACTGCAAATAGCAAGAGGTTGATACCTTTATGCTGGAATACAGTGGAAATCCTGTTCTTGGTGAGCTGCTGTTGCAGCTCCCTTCCTGTCTTGGTGGCAGCAGTTTAGTGTGTTCTGCTGGGCTGGACCTGCTCAGTATCGATCCGTTGCTACCTCTAACTCCTCCACGGTGTTTGCCCGTTACTCCTACCAGTGGCCAGACGTGTGTACGTTCACTAAATTCTCCAGTAATCACCATGTTTTAGCTGCAACCCTTCCTCAGCAAAGGAGTTTTCCACACTTCGTGGTCCAGTGGAAGATGAATAGAGGGTTAACTTGTGTTTCTAATAGGCACTAGTAAATAAATGAGCCTAGCCAATGGCATCCTGGCTTGTATTAGAAATAGTGTGACCAGCAGAAGTAGGGAGGTGATTGTGCCCCTGTACTCAGCACTGGTGAGGCCACACCTCAAGTATTGTGTCCAGTTCTGGGCACCTCAATACAAGAGAGATATCGAGGTGCTGGAGCGAGTGCAGAGGAGGGCAACGAAACTAGTGAAGGGCCTAGAAGACAAATCATCTGAAGAGCGGCTGAAGGAGCTGGGGCTGTTTAGTGTGAGGAAGAGGAGGCTGAGGGGAGACCTCATCCCTCTCTACAACTACTTGAAAGGACACTGTAGAGAGGTTGGGGCTGGTCTCTTCTCACAGGTAATTAATGACAGAACGAGAGGGAACAGCTTCAAGCTCCAACAGGGTAGGTTTAGACTGAACATTAGGAAAGAATTTTTCACAGCAAGAGTGGTTGGGCATTGGAATAGGCTGCCCAGGGAGGTGGTTGAGTTGCCATCCCTGGACGTATTTAAGAGCCGTTTAGATGTGGTGTTGGGGGATATGGTGTAGGGGAGAACTTTGTAGAGTAGGGTAGATGGTTGGACTCAATGATCCCAAGGGTCTCTTCAAACCTAGACGATTCTGATTCTCATTCATGCCCCACTTAACAGATCCCAGGACCTCAACGAGGCAACAGGATTTCTGCTCTGAATGTAAGTAACTGTAGACTTAGGATGTTTGTGGGGGCTTTTTAAGGAAAAAATAGGCTATGATCTGTAAGAGGAAATGGTTGTGCTTGTAGTTCAGCGTTGGTTTAGGAAAGATATAATAAAAGACAACAGAATTGTCCAGGCTCAATCTGTGGGGGATGTCTTAGAAACTTCAGGATATGCTGCCTACCTCTATAGGCACCTCGTCTCCTGTCCCCAAATGGCATGCAAGCTGCAGGTGGTTTAATTTTGTTTGTATAACGATTTTGTTTGTATAAATTAAATTGCCATGAAAGCATGACTGTTGCCTTTGAGTGAAGAATACGCAGGACCAATTAAATGAAACAATTTTGAAAGCTGAAGGGAAAACATAGTTTGGTGTCTCAGATTCTAAATATTTGCTTTAAACATGCAGAATGTTATTTTGCTGTTGTAATAGATAGCATCAGAATAGTGACGCTTATGGGACTGTATGGAAACATCTTAGTAGAGAAGGGGAGGTGTTACTTTGTACAGTAGAAAAAAATCTGCTGTTTTTCCTGAAGTGGAAACTGTGCTGCTGTTCTGCAGAAATGTTTCCTCTCGTTTACGAGGCCGTGGGTTTAAAATAGAAATTCAACATAAGGAGCAGCTGAATACGTAACATCCAAACTGCTGCTTAACCTACAAATAATTTCCCCAACGGTCACGTTAAGGAAAGCATCTTCCCAGGCCCAAAAAAGAATTCAGCTTAAAGGCAAAATGGGCACCTGGGGGCCTGGGGGATAGTTCACAGCCCACAGATCCCACTGTCCTGATCGGATGGTGTTGGTGCTGTGCTATTGATGTGATGTTTTCATAATGAAAAATACCTATTTTATCTTACCTCCCGTGCTTCCCTCTGTAGACTAAACAAAACATAGAAGGAGCTCAAGAAAAGGCCAGGGCAGATTTCTACCACTACAACGGTCGGTCTTACTAGTAGAAGACATTTGGAGGTCTGTCACGTCTGCCTTTCTCAGATTAACATACAGGCCTGGAGTCTTGGTTCTCTGTAGGTGTTGAGCGTGGTCACAGAAGCTGATTTTTTGGCATGATGCAAAGAATTTATTTTTAAAAAAATATATACAGAAGGGAAACAACCTCCCACCCAACCCTCTCCTGGTAATAAAAAGCAGAATTCATGCTTAGAGTTTATTTGGGTTTTTTCTACTTAATTAAAAAATTGTTTAGAGAACTAATGGTAAAAGTTCTGGAAAAGGTTTTGCTACTGTCGGCATGTACAGTGGGGAACACTGAATTTATTCATGTGCAAGTAAAGTATTCCTATACAGATGACAGGTGAAATGATTAAACTTATTAATACTGCTGTAAGTAGAAAGTGATTTTACTCTCTCAGTTGTGTAAGAACCGGCATCGGAGCCAGCTCAGCAATAGAACTCTAAGGGTAAAATCATTTCCTATTTTAATAACTCTCCAAAATGCACAAAATACTCCTCTGTTAAAGACCCCTGTGCAAAAGTGACTTAGAGCTTCATGTTATGCTTTGGATGCTGGGTTTAAATGATCTTTAGAGCACGGATATTTTGTTACACTGGGAAAGAAACGCAAACTCTTTTTTTTTTTTTTTCTTTTTTTTTTTTTTCCCCCCTTCTGCCCCACTAAGACAAGTCAGAGACAAAGTTTTGCATTTTAAAGTTATAAATAGAGCCCCAGCGGACTTCCCGGGAAGTCGTTTTGTAGTGGATCAGGCTTCCCCACAGCCACAGCTGTCTGCTCTCGTCTCTCCCCAAATCCATCCCTCCCCAGGCGCGGGGCGCGGTAAATACTGCAAACCCGAGTCATCGCTAAGAATAAACCCTTCAGCAACAACAGCCTCTGTTGAACCTGAATCATCCGGGGTTCTGGTTTGGGAGAGTGACCCAGTAATGACTTCACGTTAGATGCTCTATATAAGTCGAGGAAAAAAACAGGCGTTCGCAGAGCTCACGGGCTGGATTTAATCAGAGCCGGGAAACGACCTCGGGAGGGATTACGGCCGAGTGAGCACCGCAGTTATGTCACAGGTACGGGGAGATGGGTGGGAGCCTGCTCTCCTCGGAGCAGGGCACCCCGAAAATGGACTGTCTTAGAGGGTTTCCTTGGAATAGCTTTGTTAACAAGTTACTCTCATTAACCGGCGTATTCGGCTTCTCTGTGCCGTGCCATTTGTTTGATTGTGTTGAAGTATTTAAACACTGTTTATATATTTTAACAAATAACATGTTAGGGATTATTTGATGAAGAATGAAAGCAGCTGCCCTCTATGTGGTTAATTAGTTTTAAAATGTTCCATTTCATCATAAATATTTTTATTTCTGTAGGAAGGGAAAAACCACTCCTCTGGTTTGGGACGTTTCAGAGGAGAAATGATTTCTGCTTTTCCAACGCACTTTCTCAGACAGTGGTTTGAAATTTTGGCAGTTGTTTTGAAAGGAGGTGGCTACACTGAAGTGTGCGGCTGGTGATGTGCAGGAAAAGAGAGAGCGTGGCTGCAAAATATAACTGTTGGGATGCAATATTTGAGACTGAACTTATGTATTACACACTTTGATGTTCATTTTGTAACTAATGGTTTGTCTTTACCGTGTTCCCCAGTAATCACTCTTTCAAAGTGATCTTAAAATTAGCTCAGAAATGTTGAGGTTTTCACTTAAGCATTATGTTTTCGACGCGAGCTATGCGT